GAGTCGGGAATGGAGGGCAAAAGGAGAACATGCTGATCAAGAATAGGGCTCCACAGCCACCTACCCACCACCAAGGCTGTTAAAGGCTCCTCCCTAAACTACAAACCCCAGAATTCTTCAGGAGGCAGCAATCGGATTTAAAGTGGATTCATTCTCTAGTGTGATTAAGTAGTAGGACGGCATATAGGCCGCATCTGGTCTTCCTACCCAAGTCTTTACTGAGACTGGCCCTGCCTAGCTGCCAAGATCAGACGGGATCTGGTGCCTTTTTAGAGTATTTAGGCCTTGTTTTCATCTTGGGGGTTGGCTGGTTAGTATTTACACAAAATTATCAATTTAGGATCTGGGCTTAATGACATAGGACGTTTAGGGTGGACCTTACCGGGCTTTTTCCCTCATCAGGGAAGTTTTGGGACCAAGTTCAGGGATTGTACAACCCACAGCCATTGGATGAGACTGCAGGGCCTTTCCCCACAGCCATGTATCCCAGAATATCAAGGCAGAAAATCCCACAATATTTACTTTGAACTGGCTTATCTGAGTCCACACTGCCATATATTCCAGTTCAAAGCAGGTAATGTGGGATTTTATTCAGCTGGGTTGGGGGGGCCTAACTCGGAGGGAGGGAGGCTCAAGCCCTTCCCCAGACAGACAGACAAATAGATAAATAAATAGATAAATAAACAGACAAATGGAAATGCAGTCTCAGAAATGCAAGCACCCTTAGACACCAATGGCAGTCTCTATTGAAGAAGGAAAGTGGGAAGAAGGATTCCAGCAGAGTTACAGATTCCATCTAAAGTTACACTTTTATTTAAGATGTCTACAGAGTTGCAAGCCTCGCATAAAGTTTGGCAATTTCGCCATTGTTTTGCCTGTTAATTAATGGCATCTCCATTTTTAATAATTATTGAGTAAATTTCATTCCGGAATTATTAACTTGTTCAGTGTATGCCCGCTCTGTGAGAGCAAGAGTGTATCTATATCTTCATATTTATATGTATATCTCTCAATATATACATACAGGCATAAGGCATATATTATACACATAGAGAGAGATTAGTTTTGCGTCATTCACACACATATGTGCATGTCTATATGTGTGTATGAATGTGTAAGCTGTATATGTTTATGTGCATACAACACATATGCATGTGTATATGTGTGTATGAATGTATAAGCTGTATATGTGTATGTATATACAACAACAACACATATGCATGTGTATATGCGTTTATAAATGTATAAGCTGTATATGTGTATATACATACAACACATATACATATGTATATGCACATATGTATGTATGTATAAGCTCTTTATGTGTATGTACATGCAACAACAACACATATGCATGTGTATATGTGGGTATGAATGTATAAGCTGTATATGTGTATGTATATACAACAACAACACATATACATGTGTATATGCGTGTATAAATGTATAAGCTGTATATGTGTATATACATACAACAGCAACACAGCATATGCATGTGTATACACCTGTATGAATGTATAAGCTGTATTGTGTGTATATACATAAAACAACACATATGCATGTGTATATGCGTGTATGAATGTATAAGCTCTTTATGTGTATGTACATGCAACACATATACATATGTATATGCACATATGTATGTATGTATAAGCTCTTTATGGGTATGTACATGCAACAACAACACATATGCATGTGTATATGTGGGTATGAATGTATAAGCTGTGTATGTGTATGTGTATACAACAACACATATACATGTGTATATGCATGTATACATGTATAAGCTGTATATGTGTATATACATACAACAGCAACACAGCATATGCATATGTATACACCTGTATGAATGTATAAGCTGTATTGTGTGTATATACATAAAACAACAAATATGCATATGTATATGCGTGTATGAATGTATAAGCTCTTTATGTGTATGTACATGCAACAACAACACATATACATGTGAATATGTGTGTATGAATGAATAAGCTGTGTATGTGTATATACGTACAACAACAACAATAACAATAATTCTTTATTTATAACCTGCCTATCTCCTCAAAGGACTCCTCTTTCTCTCTCTATATGTGTGTGTGTGTGTGTGTGTATATATACACACATACACACCTCTGTATGTAGGTACATATATGTGTATATCTATATGTGTGTGTGTATACAATTTATTTCATAAATTCTAAGGCTGGATCTACACTGCCCTATATCCCAGGATCTGATCCCAGATGATCTGCTTATCCCAGATTTTCCGGCAGTGGGGACTCATATACTCCGGTTCAAAGAAGACAACCTGGGATCAGATCCTGGGATATAAGGCAGTGTAGATCCTGCCTGAGATGCCATTGATTCTAAAGCATACAGTAATTTCAGTACCATACACACACACACACACACACACACACACACATATAATTACTGTATATAGTTATTATTTATTAATTCTTAAATCGATATATCTTTTGTGATATTGAAGCATGAGGGGACACAACATGTCTCATAGAAACCTTTCCTTCCAATTTCCTTCTTTCAGTGGTCTCTTCTTTCTTCTTGCCTCCTGAAGTGTGGTTACATAAGTGTGGTTACATAAGTTTCCTGATTGTGGCACCATGTTGCAGAAAATCAACAAGAATAACACCCTATGTGTCCCAAAACACTGATGTCATAACCTTCCGTAGACTTGAATTTTTGGCACATGGGGAACCGCCATTCCTTAGATTGCACTTTACTCTCTGGGTCCACTTCTTCACCCACATTGCTAGTGTCCAAGGCCCACACATTGCTAGTGTCCATTACAACCTCCCCATAAACATCCTTCAAGCCATGGTGGATTTCCTTAGGTGCACCACCTTCTTTAGCCAGAAATTCAATGAGGACTTTTTTCTTTGAGCTTCAGATCCATGGTTCTACTCAGTCAATCCAAAAAAGCAGAGACTATATCAGTAAAGGATGTTTTTCTGTTTTGAATTGTGATTTATGTCTTATATTTAATGATTTTAAGTTCATAGTTATGTTATGTGTAGTAATTACTTACTATAATTTCTTTTTGTAATGTATGTTGGCATTAAATTTTTGCCATGAGCATATTGTAAACCACCTTGAGTCCCCCCAGGGATGAGAAAGGTGGTATATAAATATAGTGAAGAAATAAGTAAGGAAGGTCTATACATGACCTCTATCATGTCATGTATAGATAGTCCAGGAGCTGTGAAAGAAAAAAAAGTTAGAGTGAGGGAGCCATTACTTTTTGATGGGGGAATTACTTTTTAGAGGACCCCCCCCCCCCAGGTCCCAAGTTTGACTATGGGGTGAGCCCCTGCTGTTAGTCCCAGCTTCTGCCAACCTAGCAGTACAAAAACATTAAAATGTAAGTAGATCAATAGGTACCGCTCTGGTGGGAAGGTACCGTGTGCTCCATGCAGTCATGCAGGCCACATGACCTTGGAGGTGTCTATGGGTAATGCCGGCTCTTTGGCTTAGAAATGGAGATGAGCACCAACCCCCCAGACACGACTGGACTTGATGTCAGGGGAAAACCTTTACATTTACCTTACTTTTTGATGGAGGCATTACTTTTATATGGAGGCGTAACTTTTTGATGGAAGCAATACTTTTATATGAAGGCATTACTTTTATATGGAGGCACTACTTTTTAGATGGAAGCAATACTTTTTGATGGAGGCAATCCTTTTGATGGAGGCAATACTTTTTGATGGAGGCATTGCTTTTTATATGGAGGCAATATTTTTTGATGGAGGCATTACTTTTTGATCCCTCCCCATGATTGCTTGCTTGCTTCACATAGAGTCGGACTCATTGGTAAATTGACAGGAGCCCCTTAAATCCTTGTGCCGACAGGGTGGAAGTTTGAATCCGGGGAGAGCATGGATGAGCTCCCTCTGTCAGCTCCAGCTCCCCATGTGGGGACATGAGAGAAGCCTCCCATAAGGATGGCAAAACATCTGGCCATCCCCTAGGCAACATCCTTTCAGGCGGCCAATTCTCTCACACCAGAAGCGACTTGCAGTTTCTCAAGTCACTCTCCCTTTGAGATGAGCTCTCTCTGTCAGCTCCAGCTCCCCATGCGGGGACAAAAGAGAAACCTCCCATAAGGATGGCAAAACATCCAGCCATCCCCTAGGCAACATCCTTGCAGACTGCCTATTCTCTCACTTCAGAAGCGACTTGCAGTTTCTCAAGTCACTCTCCCTCTGAGATGAGCTCCCTCTGTCAGCACCATGTGGGGACATGAGAGAAGCCTCCCACAAGGATGGCAAAACATCCAAACATCCGGGCATCCCCTGGGCAACGTCCTTGCAGAAGGCCAATTCTCTCACACAAGAAGCAACTTGCAGTTTCTCAAGTCACTCTCCCTCTGAGATGAGCTCCCTCTGTCAGCTCCAGCTCACCATGTGGAGACATGAGAGAAGCCTCTCATAAAGATGGCAAAACATCCGGCCATCCCCTAGGCATTGTCCTTGCAGACGGCCAATTCTCTCACACAAGAAGCGACTTGCAGTTTCTCAAGTCACTCTCCCTCTGAGATGAGCTCCCTCTGTCAGCACTATGAGAAAAGCCTCCCACAAGGATGGCAAAACATCCAAACATCTGGGCATCCCCTAGGCAACATCCTTGCAGACGGCCAATTCTCTCACACCAGAAGCGACTTGTTGTTTCTCAAGTCACTCTCCCTCTGAGATGAGCTCCCTCTGTCAGCACCATGTGGGGACATGAGAGAAGCCTCCCAACGAGGATAGTAAAACATCAAAACATTTGGTAAACGTCCTTGCAGGTGGCCAATTCTCTCACACCAGAAGTGACTTGCAGTTTCTCAAGTCACTTGCAATGAGATATTCATTGAAAAACGATAGCAAACGGTGCTGCAGGGTGTCCTTATGACAGAACCAGTTAGGAAGTGGCCTTGATAACCCGGGGAACCCAAACCCTCGCGTGACGTGTGGCTGTTGTCCTTCTTTTCCGCTTAGGTGTGGTTCCAGAACCGGAGGACCAAGTGGCGGAAGCGGCACGCGGCGGAGATGGCCTCGGCCAAGAAGAAGCACGACTCGGAGACGGAGAAGCTGAAGGAGAGCTCCGAGAACGAGGAGGACGACGACTACAACAAGCCCCTGGACCCCAACTCCGACGACGAGAAGATCGCCCGCCTGCTCAAGAAGCACAAGGCCGCCGCTGCCGCAGCCGCTGCAAACGCCGCATCCTCTTCCTCCTCCTCCTCCTCCTGCTCCTCCTCCTCCTCGGCCCCTCCGGCGCCCTTGTCCCTGCTCAGCCCTTGCAGCAACGCCTCGGAGCCCTCCTGACCCCCATGCCCCCCTCTCCCCCTCCCTCCGGCCAAGCAGGGTAGCCCCCCACGCAGCAGCCCAGGAGGCTCCGGACTGGCTGCAGTGTACAGCTCCTCTTCTTCCCCTTTGGGGAAACCAAACACCCACCCACCCGCGTGTCTGTGTCTCCGTGTCCCTCTGTGTATATATATTTTTACAGAATAATAAGTTATAAACAACCCTCATGGACCAGCCCTTCCTTATCCGAGAGAGAGAGAGAGAGAGCCACACTTTCTTGAGTTTCTTTCCCAGCCCTCCCTTCTCCTCTTCTCCTTTTCCTTTGATTCGGCCTCCAGGAAGGACAAGCTCTCCTTTTCAAGCCCTTGCCTCCCAGCCCCATTGAACCTCCATTCACTAAGGCCCCTTCCACACAGTCCTGCATCCCAGAATATCAAGGCAGAAAATCCCACAATGTCAGATAACCCACTTCAAAGCAGATCTTGAGGGATTTTCTGCCATGATATTCTGGGATTTAGGGCTGTGTGGAAGGGCCTTGAGAATATCAAGGCAGAAAATCCCACAATATCTGCTTAGAACTGAGTTATCTGAGTCCACACTGCCATATAACCCAGTTCAAAGCAGATGTTGTGGGATGTTATTCAGCTGTATGGAAGGGGCCTTAGGGTCCTTGCGCACAGCCCTATATCCCATAATGTCTAACTCAGAGGCGGCCCTAGGTAATTTTCAACAGTAAGCAAACAGTATTTTGGCACACCCCCCACCAACCATTGATATATATTTTCTGTTTGTCTTGGGAGTTCTGTGTGCCATATTTGGTTCAATTCCATCATTGGTGGAGTTCAGAATGCTCTTTGATTGTAGGTGAACTATACATCCCAGTAACTACACTTGCCACATTTGCTCCCTTGCCTGGCCCGCTTTGGGTCCGGAGGCGTGCCTGAAGACCCCGGCGTGTGCACCAAAAGTCACCTCTTCTCCTGACTTTCTCCTCAGCCATTGGGACCAAAGAGAGAGAGAGAGGTGGAGATGCCCACCTTTCCTGAAGGTAGGCGCAAAAACAAAGGAGGGAGCGGAGGTGGGAGATACCTCCAGCCGGAGGGGCTCTCTCTCTCTCTCTCTCTCTCTCTCTCTCTCTCTCTCTTGGTCCCAATGGCTGAAGAGAAAGTCAGGAGAAGAGGCGACTTTGGTGCGCCTGCTTGTGCACCCAGTGGCCGGGTGGAGCAGGAATGAGAGGGGCTAGGCAAGGCTCAAGGGCCCGGCCTCTTTGGGAAGGTAGGCGCAAGGCAAGAAAGTCGAGGCTCCACCCGGACTGCTAGGGTTGTTGTGAGCTGAGGGGGCGCTCCTCAAGTGGCAGTCGAGGGGCATTTACAGAGGCGCCTCTGCGCCCCTGGCAAAAAAAAAAGTGTTCTGTGACCGCTTACTTCACGTAATAGATGAGCCGCCCTTGGTCTAACTTGAAATGGGTTATCCGATTCCACATTCAGATAATGTGGGATTTTCTGCCTTGATGTTCTGGGATATAGGGCTGTGTGGAAGGGCCCTAAGTCATCTCATTCCACACTCAGATATTGTGGGATTTTCTCCCTCGATATTCTGGGATATAGGGCTGTGTGGAAGGGCCCCATGGCTGAATAAAATCCCACATTTTCTGTTTTGAACTTGCAGTGTGGACTTAAAGACCTTCCAGTATGGCCCTATATTCCAGGATCGGATTCCTGGTTTTCCACTAAACTGGGGCCCTTGTCACACAGCTGAATAAAAACACCACATTTTCTGTTTTGAACTGGAATATCTGGCCGTGTGGACTCAGATAACCCAGTTCAAAGCAGATGTTGTGGGATTTCTGCCTTGATATTCTGGATTGTACGGTGCCTCCCACACTGCCCTATATCCCAGGATCAGATCCCAGATTGTCTGCTTTAAATTGGATTATATGAGTCTTCACTGTCAGATAATCTGGGATAATAAGATAATATGGTATCAGATCCTGTGATATAGGACAGTGAAGAAAGGGCCTCAGGCTGGATCCATCTACACTGCCATTTTGTTGTTCATTCGTTCACCATAGACCCATATAATATAGTTTGATAAGGGTTTTACCCATCCCCCTTCCACACTGCCACATACAATCCAGATTATCTGCTTTGAAATGGATTATATGAGTCTACACTCCCATATAACCCAACTCAAAACAGATGATCTGGATTGTATGTGGATTGTATGTTATATGGGAGTGTAGGCTCATATAATCCACATCAAAGCAGACAATGTGGGTTATTTGTTTTGATAATCAGGATTATATAGCAATGTAGATCCAGCCTCTGGCCCTTACTACACTACCATATAAAATCCAGATTACCTATGTTGTGCTGGATTATATGGCAGTGTAGACTCGTATAATCCAGTTCAAAGCGGATAATGTGGATTATCTGATTTGATAATATGGATTATATGGCAGTGTAGATACAGCCTCAGACCCTTAGTACACTGCCATATAAAATCCAGATTATCTGTTGTGCTGGATTATATGGCAGTGTAGACTCGTATAATCCAGTTCAAAGCAGATAATGGGGATTGATAATCTGGATTATATAGCAGTGTAGATACAGCCTCGGGCCCTTACTACACTGCCATATAAAATCCAGATTACCTGTGTCCTGCTGGATTATATGGCAGTGTAGACTTGTGTAATCCAGTTCAAAGCAGATAATGTGGATTATCTGTTTTGATAATCTGGATTATATGACAGTGTAGATACAGCCTCAGGCCCCTTCTACACTGTCATATAAAATCCAGATTACCTGTGTTGTGCTGGATTATATGGCAGTGTTGACTCGTATAATCCAGTTCAAAGCAGATAATGTGGATTACCTGATTTGATAATATGGATTATATAGCAGTGTAGATCCAACCTCTGGCCCCTACTACACTGCCATATAAAATCCAGATTACCCGTGTTGTGCTGGATTAAATGGCAGTGTAGTCTCGTGTAATCCAGTTCAAAGTGGATAATGTGGATTATCTGATTTGATAATCTGGATTATATGGCAGTGTAGATACAGCCTCTGGCCCCTACTACATTGCCATATAAAATCCAGATTACCCGTGTTGTGCTGGATTATATGGCAGTGTGGACTCGTATAATCCAGTTCAAAGCAGATAATGTGGATTATCTGTTTTGATAATCTGGATTATATGACAGTGTAGCTACAGCCTCAGGCCCCTTCTACACTGTCATATAAAATCCAGATCCAGCATTTGCTGCCTCCCCGGAGCTTATTATTTTTCTCTGTGGATTTGGTGCATCTTGGTGGAACTACCTGCTAGTTACACTCCTCACTTTTAGAGTAAATCTACATTGTAGAATTAATGCAGTTTAAACTTCACTTTCACTGCTATGACTCAGTACTAAGGAAGGTTTCACAAGTTCTTTGGCCTTTTCTGCCAAATACTGATGGTACCTCATCAAATGAAAACTCCCAACATTCTGTAGTATGAAGCCCTGTCAGTCAAAGTGGTGTCGAACTGCATTAATTTTTTAGAGTAGACGTGCCCTTAGATGCATTTGTTTGGAAGGAAGTCCCACTGGAGTTAAAGGACCTGTCTTGGGTGAGTTAATGCTGAGCTAGCATTGTCCTTTGGGCTGTTGCCTTTGAAAATTAGGATCCCCCCCAACCTGCCCCCCCCCCCCCCAAATTATTTCCTGCTCCTAACAATCAAGGTTTTGTTAAGGTTTTGTATATGGGTCGCAGACTCCAGCTCAACCACTTTGTATATAGGAAATGACAGATTTTTGTGATGTATATTTCTAGTGTAAAAAAAGAAGTCCAGGGCAGTTTTCTTTCCTCTTATTTTTAAATTTGGGGGTTTGGATGGTTTCAACTTCCCTATGAGTTGTTTTGTTGTTTTTTTTGCCATGCGAGGAAGAGAGAACTGCATCACCCGGTTTTGACCTCAGACTCTTAAGGTTGGAAAGGCTTTGTATAAATCAATAAATTATTTAACAAACTGCTTTGGCAAAGTTCTTGGCCTTTGGATGCGGTGGGCAAAGGTTTGCTTCCTGGGCTTCCATTGGAGTTATTAATGTTGCCTCTCCCTCTATGCTTGTTCTGATCTGCAACCAGTTGTATGTTGTATGTGCTGTTTCTTATCAAGCAATGCAAACAGACTCAGTAAGGTGGCAGAAAAATGAAATGCTGCTTATCAACGGGCCTCGATCCTCTTGCATCCCAACTAAAGTGGACTCAGTAAATCAATAAGATTTAGGGCCCTTCCACACAGCCATATAACCCAGAATATCAAGGCAGAAAATCCCACAATATCTGCTTTGAATTTGCTTATCTGAGTCCACACTGCCATATATTCCAGTTCAAAGCAGATAATGTGGGGTGTTCTGTCTTGACATTCAGGGATATTGGGCTGTGTGGAAGGGCCCTAGGTTATATGGCTATGTGGAAGGGCCCTAAGAAGATCTGCCTTGGGAAATTTTGAGAATGATATGTTGTAAGGGTATGTGTTCTCCTGAACATGGGCAGAGTCCTTTGCTATCACCAGTTCACACAGCTCTATATCCCAGAATATCAAGGCAGAAAATCCCACAATATGTTCTGAACTGGATTATCTGAGTCCACACTCAGATAATGTGAGATTTTCTGTCTTAATATTCTGGGATATAGGGCTGTGTGGAAGGGCCCTTGGAAAGAAGAATTGGGAAGAAAATTATAATGGAGATCCCTTTTCCCCATAACTTTTTCAGGAGTGAATTTCCCTTCCTAGGGATAGATTTCTCTTACTTCCTGTTGTCTTCTCTCATTCTTAACTATGAGCCATTTTGTAAGTTGGATGTTTGTAACTCGGGGTCTGACTTTATATAGTTTTTTTAATGGACTAATTTGGAGAGAGAATGAAAGGAACAGGGGGGAAGCAACATATGAGTATGTTGTCCTCTAGATGTTGACTGATTGAACTTCCAGATGTTGACAGTCCTGGCTCACATAGGCAATGGTGAGGGAAACTGGAGTTACATGGCAGCAACTTCAATGGTGTGGGGAAACAAATGACATGGCAGCAACTTTCACTGGTTGTCCGTGGGCTACCAGTGGTCCACAAGAACTAATATATGGTCCGCAGCCTCACATAGCCATTGGTGAGGGAAACTGGGTTACACCAGTGGTCCACAAGAACTAATATATGGTCCGAAGCCTCACATAGCCATTGGTGAGGGAAACTGGGTTACACCAGTGGTCCACAAGAACTAATATATGGCCTGCAGCCTCACATAGCCATTGGTGAGGGAAACTGGGTTACACCAGTGGTCCACAAGAACTAAAATATGGTCCGCAGCCTCACATAACCAATGGTGAGGAAAACTGGGTTACAGGGCAGCAACGTCCACTGGTGGTCCATGAACCACTAGTGGTCCACAAGAACTAAAATATGGTCCACAGCCTCACATAGCCAATGGTGAGGGAAACTGAAGTTACATGGCAGCAACATCCACTGGTGGTCCATGAACCACCAGTGGTCCACAAGAACTAAAATATGGTCCGCAGCCTCACATAGCCAATGGTGAGGGAAACAAGTTACGTGGCAGCAACTTCAAACTCGTTTTAAGACAACTTTTGCCTCTAAATAACATCCTATAAAGCAGAACTGGGATCTGTGTGGTTCTTCAGATCTTGTTGGACTGCAACTCCCATATGCTTTACCCAAAATAGCTAATGGTGGCATTGTTAGGAGCTACAGCACAATGCCTGCCTTAATCCCATTCCTTCTATAAAAAATTCCTTTACAGTCCTACACCTATATACTGAGACATAAATCCTATAGAGTTTAGTGAGTGATGACTGGCCCTTCCACACAGCCATATATATTCCAGAATATCAAGGCAGAAAATCCCACAATATCTGCTTAGAACTGAGTTATCTGAGTCCACACTGCCATATAACCCAGTTCAAAGCAGATGTTGTGGGATGTTATTCAGCTGTATGGAAGGTGCCTTAGGGCTCCTGCGCACAGCCCTATATCCCAGAATATTAAGGCAGAAAATCCCACAATGTCTAACTTGAAATGGGTTATTCAATTCCACGCTCAGATAATGTGGGATTTTCTGCCTTGATATCCTGGGATATAGGGCTGTGTGGAAGGGTCCTTGGTTGTATGTCAACTCAGCATTTAATATTTGAGCCTAATCTAGTTTGGGACTGACCACTAGGCCAAGGTTTGGTTATTTAAATCTTCAGACTCCTCTTCTTTCTCAGGAGTATATTTCTAAAACTGATTTTCCTTCATTACCATTCATGACCATTGACGCCGGTGGGAACTGGATTGCATCCAAGGTACATTTGTGATTGTTTTGCTAATTTAGACATACTTTTGCTAGAGAGGGAAGTTTTTCTAGGCCAGAGACAGGTCAGTTCAGAGTTGGTTCATACCATAATTGGATGGAAGACTTTTTTAAGAGCAAAAAAGCGTGATACATTCACAAAGCTTTTGTTCGTCAGACATGTTAAAGTATTCCAGGCATGTGTCACTTCCTATGGATAAAATAACCCCCTTTTCACTCACAACAGTTTCAAGTATACTGTTAGCAAGCCAGCCAAGCCAGAAACAAAGCATCGAGAAGTTCTGTCCTGGGCCGAGTCCTATTCAACATCTTTATTAATGACTTAGATGAAGGGTTAGAAGGCATGATCATCAAGTTTGCAGACAACACCAAATTGGGAGGGATCGCCAATACTCCAGAGGACAGGAGCAGAATTCAAAACAATCTTAACAGATTAGAGATATGGGCCAAAACTAACAAAATGAAGTTCAACAGTGACAAATGCAAGATACTCCACTTAGGCAGAAAAAAATGGAATTCAAAAAGACGAACCCCATTTTGGAGATACTTATATGGGGGAAAGTTTGGATCTAGAATGCCATATAATCCAGATTATTAAAGCATTTTATCTACATTATCTGCTTTGAACTGGGTTATATAAGTCTACACTGCCATATAATCCAGTTCAAACAGATACTACTACTACTACTACTACTACTACTACTACTACTAATAATAATAATAATAATACTTTATTTATACCCTGCCACCATCTCCCCAAGAGACTCGGAGCGGCTTACATGAGGCCAAGCCCAATAACACAGCAATAAAACAGAAAAGCAATAAACAAAACAATACAATGCAATACAAATTAATATAAATCACATATAACAATAACACACAAGGATTTAAAACCTATGGCCAGGCCAAATGTAATAATTTAAAAATTAAAAAAATTAAATAATAATAAGATAATCTGGATTTTATATGGCATTGTAGATGAAGCCCTAGAATGGAAGAAATACAGTATTGCACTTTTTTAATGCAGACAGAACAAAATTTTCTGTGTGGAAATTTTACACTTATGTGTAGATTTTTGTGAAAACCGCCCACATTTCTTTCTCCATTAAAGTATTATTTCATATGCTGTGATGTTTAAATGCTAATGGAAATTGAGTTGAAGTCTTTCTCCTCTAACATTCTCTGTGACAAGAATCCCCAGTTGTTGAGGATGTCTGTTTTTCGGTCTGGAAACTAAGGAGTGTGGATATTCTGTCCATGGAGTGAGTCTTCAAAAGCATCTTCGAACCTGGGGCAGAGAATCCAAGTGGTGTTGATCACAGTGGCAAAAACAATAATAAATCAAGGCTGGCATCTTGTAAGTCAACTACTATGTCATATATTAAGCTTAACTGCTTCCTATTCATGTTTACAACTGCAATACCATTACCACAATCATAAATGACCATAAAACTCACCTTAAAATCCACCCAACTGCATGGGATGGAGTTCTGAGACAGAGGATCTGAGTGAAACCCAACTACTAACATTATTCTTTCCCCTGAAAAGACTGCTATCTAAAGCAAGCTGCTTCTTTCTATAGGAATAAGATATCAAACAGAATTTTAGCAATACTCCAGGCCTCCTCTTGAACACATATGTTGAGAAAACATGTTGCAGTTTTATTTTTACAGATGTTAATGTTAGGCAACAAGACTTATATATTTGGTTAGCATTGCTAGTAAATAGGACTATGTGATTTGGCGTGGAGTGCATCTTAGGCTGGAGCTACATTGCATATAACCCAGATTATTAAAGCAAATAATCTACATTATCTGTTCTGAACTGGGTTATATGAGTCTACACTGCCATATAACCCAGATTATTAAAGCAGATAATCTACACTGAGCTAGTAATTTTAATTTAAAACACTTAAAGTGAATATTGTACGTTTTGTGGCACTAGGTTGGTGCCATTTGTAAACCGCCTCAAGTCCCCCTCGGGGTATAGAATGGCGGGATATAAACAGACAAATAAATAAGGTAAACATTTATTATTTATTTCCTATATTTATATCCCGCCCTTTTCACCCCCAAGGGGGGACTTAGGGCAGCCTCACAAAGCACCATACAGTGGCAACATCATAAAACCATCAACAGCACATTAAAAAAATTAAAAATATTACAACAATAGTTAAAACAATTGATTAATGTACGCCTATTAAAAATCAGAATCCAAAATCCAGTCTGGGTCAAATCATTGCCATAAGTGTTAAAATCTTCTTCCAGTTGCTGCTCACTGATCAAATGCTTGGTCCCACAGCCAGGTCTTGATTTTCCTTCTAAAAGACAGGAGGGAGGTGGTCACCCTGATGTCTCTGGGGAGAGCGTTCCACAGGTGAGGGGCCACTGATGAGAAGGCCCTGTCCCTTGTCCCCACCAGTTGCATTTGCGATGTCAGTGGGATCGAAAGCAGGGCTTCCCCAGATGATCTTAAGTTTCGTGATGGTTTATACCAGGAGATACCTGTCTTCACCTGCTGGCCCACAGAAAATCATGATAATCATATCTAAGAAACTAGAGTGGAGGTAGTCTATCCCATGCTATTTTCAAAATCTGGGACCCAAATAAACCCAGGACCAGGCCTAAAAACCAGACACCAAGAATTATATTTTGGTTGTGTTGTGCTATTGGAAAAAATTTACATCGCCCTATATGACAGGAATTGATCCCAGATTATCTGCTTGTCCCAGATTATCTGTCAGTGTAGACTCATATAATCCAGTTCAAAGCAGATAATTTGGGATCAGATCCAAACTATGTTGAATTGGTTGAGACTCAATGAGATTGCATTGAAAAATGATTGCAAAATGTGCTACAGCAGGATATCCCGCAGAATCAAAGTTTTTGCAGTTTAATGAATGTTTTTCCATGCTTTTATGATAGAGCCAATTAGGAAGTGACATTTATAACTCAGGAATAAAAAGTGTGTTACATAGAGTATTCTAGATTCAGAAACTGGATTATATGCCAGTGGATCTTCCATACCTTCTGACACGTTTCGACTCCCAGGACTGAGAGGAAAAGGCAAACACACGCAGAGAAGAGAACAGCACCCATTTTCACCAGGATCGGTTTTATTGCTTGAGAACCAAAATGCTCATTTCCAAGTGAACACGCAAAAGGCAAACTTTTTCTCCCAAGACCCCTTTCCTTTGTAAAATCTCTGAGGGGTGAGTAGACATTATTTCAAGGCTTCCCCCAGGTGCACCAACACTGTAGATTTAATGCAGTTTGTCACCACTTTCCCTGTCACGGCTCAGTGCTATGGAGTCCTGGGAGTTGTAGTTTTGTAAGGTCTTGAGCCTTCTCCACTGGAGTGCTGGTGCCTCACCAAACTGCAACTCGGTGGATTCCATAACCATTGCAGTTAAAGAGGTGTCAGACTGCATTATTTTTACAGATGTGCCCCCAGTCTCTAAAGTTCAGACTAAAATCTGGAGCAGACTCACAGTCCCATCGATTACCAAATTGTTGGAGTTCCTCAAATTATTACATTTTTTAAAAAACTTTCCGCAAACATGGTTCCATCCCTTGGCTCCTGAAGCCCATAGTGTTTTTCAATCAATAATCAATAAAGCCCTCCGTATTTGTGTTTCATCGACAACAACACACTTTTTAATGCTGCAGGGGTTGTTGGTTCTGGAGGGAGGTTTTTTTTTTTTGAAATGTTGGAAAGGGAAAACTACCAATTAGCCATCCAGATTTACAAACCACTGGATTCCCTCCTTCCAATGTTGAAGCTACTGCCAAAATGTGCCACCGACACGGGACTTTTCTCTCTCTGGGACCCCATTCCGTGTTCGGATGGATGTTGTTGTTTTCATGGCACCCAAATCTGCTGCTGAAATAAGTGACTGCAGAAGGCGAATGGGGTTCTGGTTGGGATATATACACCAGGGACAGCGGGGCATGGGATCTTTATTTTGGAAACTACAGCTCCCAGAATACTGGCTAGGGATTCTGGACATTGCAGTCCCTGAAGGTAGCATTTCCAAATTCAAGGGTGGAAGCGGTCGCTTTGGCACTCGGGTTCCCTCTGTCTTGGAAGCCCTGAATCTCCATTCCCAGGTGTGCTCAGGCCCAAATCCTAGAAAACCATCTAGGGCCCCTTCGCAGTAGGGTGTGTTTAGTCTACACTGTAGAAGGAATGCAGTTTGACACCACTTGCACTGCCCTGGCTCAATGCTCTGGAATCCTGGAACTTGTAGTTTTACAAGGCCTTTCATGTTCTTTGCCAAAGAGCACGGGTGCCTCACCAAACTACAAACCTCATTATTCCATAGCGTACAGCCATGACAACAAAAGCAGTGTATTATATATACAGTATAGCATAGTGCGATAAATACCGGTTATAGTACTATCATTCCACTTTTAACTGCTTTGATGGATTCTTGGGATTGATAATTTGGGGAGGGATGTTAATGTCCAAATGCAGCAGATCCCTGTTTGATATTGGAAACGAAGCAGGACCATCCTTGGATAGCACTTGGATGGAAGACCACCAACAAATACCAAGTGCGGAGGATGGACAAGCTACCTCTGAGTATTCCTTGCTTGTGAAAACCCCATGAATATCACTGGATTGCCATAAATCAGATCACCTGAAGGCACATACATTTACAATTCTCAGCTGGAGAGCTCTAGCACCTCGCCAAACTACAGATCTCAAGATTTCATAGCAGTTAAAAGTGGAATCAGAGCGCTATAAATGGATTAAGTGAAAAGACCTTGATCTTCAGTCATGTTGGCCTGGGCTGCATCTATACTGTAGAATAAATGCAGTTTGATGCCACTTGAACTGCCCTGGCTCAATGATATAGAATCCTGGGAGTTGTAATTTCACAAAGTCCTTAGGCTTTTGGTGCCTCACCAAAGATAATTCCCACAAGTCCATAGCATTGAACCAAGTGGTGTCAAACTGCATTCACTCTGCAGTGTAAATACACCCAAGAAATGTGTAGGATTTAACCACTGAGGAACTGGGATGCAATGGAAAGTAAGCAGTGGTGGTAGTGGATACAAACAACAATTTACCAGTGGGAGACTTTTCTCTTTTCGGAGCAGGAAAGACAAACGGCGTATCATTATAAATTATTTTCTATATCTGTGTATATATATAGAGATCTCTATACACACTCACATACAAATATATAAATATATACACGGATAGAAAGCAGCTGCGGTCGTGTGATTCAAAAAACCATCGAACATGGCAGTAGAGTACATAACATGGAAAAAAAATAAAACAAAAAAGTCTATAAAAATGAAAAAAATAATAATTCAACCCCCCCTTCCCATGAACCATAAAACTCGGTCAACATACAAGTGATCACAGCGCAACTTCTATACAAGGCAATGTACAAAACGCGCAACTTGGCATGAAGCTGGAGAAAGGGGGACGAAAAGAGTCCTAAATCTCGAAGATTATATAGGCTTTCACATTGACAGACGAGTGAAGTCTCGGAAACAGAGAACTAGTGGGTTTGGGGAGTGGCAAGGTATATATATATTTGGCAACCATAGAATATACGCATCTCCATATAAAAATAAAAAGTCCATATTGGATGTCACAAGATAGACGAGACGGTGAGGTATGAAAGTTTCTTTCTCTCTTCTTGTTTTCTTTTGTCTTCCTTTCCAGGGACCAAGTAGAAAATTCAAACAAAATAGCCCAGACGCAGAAAAATAGTGTATGATTAACAGCCTAAAAATTAATAATAATAACAACAATAATAACAGGAATAACAAGAACAGTGACAACAATAAAACCAACAACATGGCACGCAAGGATGCGACGGGAGGACGAGGGTGGCGAAGCAAGAGAACAGACCACCAGGCCTTCATCTACTTCTTCCTCTTCCTCGCTATGAAGCGCTTTCCCGGCAGATCTTTTCGTGGCGGAGGCACCTTTTCCCTGTTGCAGAATTGATTGCCAATGGTCAGTTAAGTTTATTTATTTAAAATATATATATTTTTAAAAAAATAGAAAATTAAAAAAATATTTTAAAAAAGGAAGGAGGAGAAGGGAAGGAAGGGTGGGGAAAGCCCCAAAAGGAGGTGAGTGGGAGTGAAGGAAATAGGGAAGGGAAGGAGAAGGAAGAAGCAAAAAATTCCAATTGTGATATTTACCACCACATCACTGCACGAGACAACACTTGTGTACATTGGCAATAGGTTTACCTGCCCCCGCGGCTATTCGGAAGGACAGGAACACGGGCTGCAAAAGAGAAAGGAAGGAGGGAAGAAAGGATGAGAGGAAAGGTGGTTAGAAAGTTGAGCCTATCCCAGGCATCATTAACTCTTCTTTCCAAGCCCAGGAAACTGAGAAGAGGGACAGATCCGATGTCAAGCCCTCAAATATCCAATTACCTTCCTCTACAAAAAAAGGGGGAGACAGTAGGACACCCCAGACAAAGTCCCTCTGTTTTCCTTGAATCCCAGCAGTCCCAGGGTTTAAATCTGTGGCTGGATCTACACTCGCATATAGTTTTAACCACATGCAAAACGTGGACTATCTACAGACGTCACATGAAACTCCTTGAACTATTCTATCAGCGTTGCCTCCGAAAGATCCTGCAAATCTCTTGGGAAGACAGGTGGACAAACGTCAGCGTGCTGGAAGAAGCAAAGACCACCTGCACTGAAGCGATGGTCCTCCGCCATCAACTCCGCTGGACCGTTGTCCGAATGCCTGATCACCAAAGCAGCTACTCTACTCCAAACTCAAGAATGGGAAACTGAATGTTGGCGGACAGGAAAAGATATTCAAGGATGGGTTCAAAGCCAACCTTAAAAACTCTGGCATAGACACCGAGAACTGGGAAGCCCTGAGCCTTGAGCGCTCCAACTGGAGGTCAGCTGTGACCAGCAGTGCTGTAGAATTTGAAGAGGCACAAATGGAGGGTGAAAGAGAGAAAGTGTCAAGAGGAAGGCGTATCAAACCAACGATGACAGGGACCGCCTTCCACGTGGAAACCGATGCCCTCACTGTGGGAGAACATGCAGATCAATAATAGGGCTCCACAGTCACCTATGTATCCACCTCCAAGACACATCACTTGGAGGACCATCATCCTCGGACTGCGAGGGATTGTCTAAGTAAGTAACTAAGTAAATATATGGATCTACAGCCTCAACTACACTGACATACAAAATCCACATTATCTCCATTGATTTGGAATATATGGCAGTATAGATACAGCTTACATTGAGCATATAATGTAGCTCAAGCTGAATTATATGTCAGCCTTAGGCCCCTTCTACGCTGCCATATAATCCATACCATCAAAGCAGATAATCCAGATTATTTGATTTGAACTGGATTATATGAGCCTAGACTGCCATATATTCACATTCAAAGCAGATAATCTGGATTTCATATGGCAGTGTAGAAGGAGTTTAGACTACAGAGAAGAGTTTGGTTTGCCCAGGGATAGCAGGTTCAAGCCTTTCCACTATCCAGGGCTTCAACATATTGGTATTAAAAAGGATATATCGATTTTCCCATTTTATATAAGGGACACTGTTTTACTATACTTTTGCATATAATGGACGTGAGCATTCATGGTTCCAGTATCCATGGGGATTCTTGAAGCAGACCCCAGCGGACATCAAGGATTCACGGTAAACAGGTATATAATACATATAAATATTGTGTTGTCGAAGGCTTTCATGGCTGGAATCACTGGGTTGCGGTGTGTTTTTCAGGCTGTATGGCCATGTTCCAGAGGCATTTTGCTTGCATCTATGGTGGGCACCATCAGAGGTTGAGAGGTCTATTGGAAACTAGGCAAGTTGGGTTTATATATCTGTAGAATGTCCAGGGTGGGAGAAAGAACTCTTGTCTGCTGGAGTCAAGTGCGAATGTTGCAATTGGCCACCTTGATTAGCACTTAATGGCTTTGCATTTTCAAAGCCTGGCTGGTTGTTGCCTGGGGGATCCTTTGTTGGGAGGTGTTAGCTGGCCCTGATTGATTCTTGTCTGGAATTCACCTGTTTTTGGAGTATTGTTCTTWATTTACTGTCCTGATATTAGAGTTTTTTTAAATACTGGTGGCCAGATTTTGTTCATTTTCATGATTTCCGCCTTTCTGTTGAAATTGTCCAYATGCTTGTGGATTTCAGAGGCTTCTCWATGCTACTGTGATTTAGGCTTGGGATTGCCTGGTAATCCTAGGCCCAAGCAATTTAAGCAGGTATTCTTAGCACCTGCTGCATTAGCAGTATTATTATACCAACAGTCCAAAGGACAACAGAAACTTTTGGCCAGCCTAAGCTTCACAGGAGAGAAGATTAAGACAGTTTGTAAGCAACAATTTATAATCCATCACTTTACACCACAGGSAAAAGATTTTCAAAGATTCCAGAAAGATGACTGCAACCAGYAAGATCACCTTTTGTAATGTATTGTTTTAAGTTACTTTATTATTGTCTCCTCTTTTAGCCTGACATGGTAGTTGCTGGAGTGGTCCAGTATTTCTGTGTTCTCTAGCTGACAACCTCTGAGGATGCCTGCCATAGAAGTGGGTGAAACATCATGAGAGAATGCCTCTGGAACATGGACATACAGCCGGAAAACTCCCAGCAACCTGCAAATAAATATTGTTTGAACATGTGTTTTGCAACATACAGTTCTGCCTCTCCTGTGACTTTGGTGGAAAATATTTTTGGCAACCGTTCCCAGAATCCCCCAACCGTTAATGGTCTGCAGTCTAATGGGAAGAAGGTTTGCTCAGGAATTAAGGGAGGGATGGCCTTGCAAGCATTTCAACCATCTACGTCTTGAATACACACACATATATTTAAAAATAGTCCAAAAGTAAACATTGATTTTGTGATTTCATGTAAGGGACACTATTTTTCCATGCCACGGGACTTGAGCATCCATAGATTTTGATATCTCAGAGTCCTGGAACCCGATACAAAGGGTTCACTGTAAATACCTATCTATTCAAATCAACATTATTTGTACATGTGAAAAACCATGTTTCATAATTTGGTGAAAATCTTTGAAGCTTTGGACTACAACTCCCAGAATCCCCCAGCTGGTAATGGTCTGTGGACTAACATCTTATTATTTACCTATTTATTTAAAGCAGGGGTCCTCAAACTAAGGCCTGGGGGCCAGATACGGCCCTCCAAGATTATTTATCTGGCCCTCGCTCAGGATCAACCTAGTCTGAAATGACTTGAAAGCACACAACAACAACAATCCTATCTCATCAGCCATAAGCAGGCCCACACTTCCCATTGAAATACTAATAAGTTTACAATTGTTAAAACTGTTCTTCATTTAAATTATTGTATTGTTTTTAAGTGGTTTTTTTTTTTGCAGTGTGCATAAGAATTCAGTGTTCTCACTTCCCTTCCAGTTTCTGAATATACTATCCAAATAAGCAAAACTCGATGCAGGAGACCTTGGGATGTAAAAGCCCTCTTACCTCCAGACAGATCTCACTACTATTCATGTTCTCATTATATTCTCAGTGTAGACCCATATAATGCAGTTCATGTTCACCATTGAATTCAAGTTTACCTTGTGGTCCCCCATGCAGACGTTTGGTCCAATGTGATCATATACCACTTGCCTCTCTTCATTTTCTGACTAGGGAGGAAAAAACAAAACAAAACATAGAAACAGATTCAAGTCAGAAACAGATTCAAGTCAGTTAAAAATCACAATGATTATATCCAGAGTCAAAAGCATTTGCATCGATATCAGTAACAGCAGTTAATACATCTCACATAGAGATATGTCAATAGATTGAAGCTACCAATCTATCTACTTAGGTTTCACTGACCAATTCATTATCCAATTATAATAACCAGGGTTTTATTGAAGGCAAATCTTCCCCATTAACTGCAAGCAGATTTCTTTCCCACATTCCTATGCATACTTCTAATTGCCCTGGCTTGGCCATGTGGTGATTCATTGCCTTCTCTCTGCCTTTGTCTCTCTTCCAGGGAGGACGCATTTTGCCTTTCTCCAGGCAAAATGTAACTGCATGGATATTTTGACTTTTTATCCTTTTACTTTCCTTAAGTAAAAGGATAAAGATGAGCTTAATAAGCTAGTCAGCTCCAAGACCTTTTCTATCTAGAATGGATTTCTTTTTTACTTCAATAAACATTTTGAACCTAAAATTCTGTCTCTGCAATCCTGTACCATCCTACTGAATGGAAGCTAATCCTGACTCATCACACATAAGTTTCTGCTGGTTACGAAGTCTGCTTCTAGCACTCTGCTATATTTATGGTGGAATCACCCCAAGTGAGGGTTATGTTTGAGCTCTGATTCCTAACAAAAGTAGATAATCCACATTATCTGCTTTGACCTGGATTATATGAGTCTGAACTGCAATTTAATCCAGTACAATCTGGGGCCTAAGAGAGTTGGAGGACCAACATTTGAGAAAGGCTGGGGCCCCTTCCACACAGATGAATAAAATTCACATTGAACTGGATTATATGGTAGTGTGGACTCAGATAACCCAGTTCAAAGCAGATAGTGTGGATTATCCGCCCTGATATTCTGTGATGTATGGTTATGTGCGAGGGTCCTGAATTAACAGATCATATTCTGACCTCTGACTCATTTCTGGGACTTGTGATTCTTTCCAAAATCCTGCAAAATCTACCTTCAAACGAACGACAGACAGATTGCTAACAGGAGCAGTGCTCAGGGAGCACACAACTCCCCTGCTGCGTCAGCTCCACTGGCTGCCAGGCTGCTACCGGGCACAATTCAAAGTGTTGGCTTTAGCCCATAAAGCCCTAAAAGGTTCTGGCCCAATTTACCTGTCTGAACGCATCTCCACTTATCAACCCACCAGGACTTTAACATCATCTGCTCTCAATCCCACCTTCATCACAAGTATGTTTGGCAGGGATGAGAGACAGGGCATTCTCAGTGGTGGCCCCTCGTATATGGAACGCCCTCCCTAGGGATATTAGATTTGCTCCTTCCCTTTTAACATTCCGAAAAAAAGTCAAGTTGGTTAGAATTGAACCAAACTTGGCACACAGAACTCCAATGAACAATAGAAAATACTGGAAGGGTTTGGTGGGCATTGACCTTGAGTTGGGAGTTGTAGTTCACCTATATCCAGAGAGCACTGTGGACTCAAACAATGATGGATCTGGACCAAACTTGGCACAAGTACTCAATATGCCCAAATATGAACACAGGTGGAGTTTGGGGGAAATAGACCTTGACATTTGGGAGTTGTCACTGGGATTCACAGTTCACCTACAATCAAAGAGCATTCTGAACCCCACGAACAACAAAATCGGGGCAAACTTTCCACACAGAACCCCCATGACCAACAGAAAATACTTAAGGCCTTCCAATCCAACTCCCTTCATCGGGGCAAGAAAATATAATCAAAGTCCTCCTGACAAAGAGCCATACAGCCATAGATAGATAGATAGATAGATAGATAGATAGATAGATAGATAGAGATAGACAGACAGACAGATAGATAGATAGATAGATAGATAGATATGATTCACAAACAGAGAGATATAGTATCATAGATTTGAAAGGGACCCCTAAAGAAGGACAATTATATGTTGCATGTTCCAGGGTGGGCAAACCAGACACTCTCCACATCAACACTGACAAAGAAATAGCAAGAAACACTGTTTACCCACAAGCATAAAGAAATTACATAGATTAAAAACCAATATTTTCTCATTACTTTATTTTCCAGATCAACAGACTGGGCCACAGCAATGAGTGGCAGGGGACAGCTAGTAAATAATAAATATTCCTACACAATGTTTATATCAGCAGATGCTGACTATATGGAAAACAGTTGTCAGTCTTCACAGTTCTTTTCAAACTCCTCTTCTCTGAATGCACAGTTAAAGTGCTTTAGTCAATTAGGCACAATTAATGTGTTCAGCTCTAATCCTATTACCAGATTTGGTATCAATTCAGATCTAATTAGAGCGGGATATTTGGACAAAAAGGGAAATACCGAGGAAACAGAGAACACGGGGTAATGTGCTCTATGTTCTCATTGAATGTAAACACATTCAGTTTCCCTTTCCTCCCCAATAGCCCAATTTTAAATATATTTATTTTGGAGTAAGTCTATTTGAATTTCATGGAGTTGGCTTTTAGCCACAGGACTGAAGTCCGAATGAATGCTGGAAACATTAAAGCCAGTGGGAGTTTTGTGACAGATGTAAACCATTTTTTAAAATTTACATTCATCTCAAAATAAGCTTTGGCTAAAGAATATCCCCCCGCCCCCCCGTATAAAATCTTGTGAATTATTTCTATGCCGGCACTTTATGCCCTTTATTTTTCTGTCCTCTCTTCCAACAAATAATGAAATTGACACAGGCTGGGCTGTTGCATCGACCACGACTGACCATTTGCTTTGTTTATCTAGCATAATGACCCTGCTAAAGCAATCACTTAAGAGAAAGAAAGACTGACTTGCAATTTCTCAGCCTAGTTAAACGGCAAGATAATTCAATCTGGAACCCACACCCCTCTCCCTCGATCCTTCATACACACATGCGTGCACACAACCGCAGCTGCGCTGGCAAATAGTTTCCCATCTTAATTTATTTCAGATGAAAAACAGTCAAGCTTCCCCTCATCTGTAATCATGTCAAGTCAGACCGGCTAAGAACTTTATATATAAACAGTCGCATTTGGGACTATAAAGTTAAAACTGAATTATCTTTAATGCAGTAAGAAAGCTTAAGGTCATATTTGCTTGCGAGCATGCTTGCCTAGGAATCTCTATCTATACACAGGCACACGGCCACACACGCGCAGACGGAAAAACCCTAACCTTCTGCATTGTATGCATGAGCACTTTCCAATATTTCAAGCTCATAATGCCACCGCCGTCGGAAGTGGGGATACATTCATCAAAAGCGACTTGATAATTTACAAAGGCAGCATCAAATTGTAGATTTTCAAGTGCATAATCTTTAGACAGATAAACAAATTACAGCAGCGCACGAACAGAAACAGGCTCCACTCAGCTGAGCATTCATTACGCCATGCTCTCAGGCAGCGCTGCATACTCCTGAGCAGCGGGCAACCTTTGGTGTGTTAGGGCTCAGCAAGCATAAAATAACATGCTGGGGAGGTAACCGACCATGGCATGATAAATGAGGTTGTGCTGGAGCTGTTTACAGCCCCATGTCTGTACAATCTGTAAGGGCCCACCGTAAGAAGCCTAGCTTCCCCGGCTGTCAGCTAATATGGGCATAGGCAAAACTCTCCCTTTCCGCAAAACAAAAAAGGACCAAATTTGCACAACGGAATTTCCTGAATTCTTACTTCTGTTTCAATAAGAAACTTCACAAAAGTTGGAGCGTGCTCGTAATTTTGTTTGCCCTCTCCATAAAGCGACTGGGGACACAAGCCAATATTATTCCCATTTCACAAATAGGAAATTGAGGCCTTAAAGACAGACCCAATCTGCACTGACCATTTAGTAAAAGGTAAAGATTTTCCCCTGACATTAAGTTCAGTCGTGTCTGATTCTGGGGGGTTGGTGCTCATTTCCATTTCTAAGCTGAAGATCTGGCATTTTCCATAGACACCTCCAAGGTCATGTGGCCAGCATGACCGCATGGAGCGCCGTTACCTTCTTGCTGGAGCAGTACCTATTGATTAACTGACGAGTCCATTGGAAACACAACACAACAGAAGTAAATGTCTAAAATGGCCTCTCGGTAATGGCCAGAGGGCACCCCCCCCCCCAGTATTGAGCTAAGGGTTGGGACCAGGACAAACATGTTAAGATGCAGAGAGCTAGATGATAAATGGTGGGGGTGGCCATGACCCTTCCCCACTGAGTCCCCGGATGAAGTGGTATCTACCATGGGGAGAAAGAGTAAAGCATGCTCTGATAGTGTTGCAATGTCACTTCACTTATCTCTGAGAAATGTGCTCAGCTGGCTATTCCAAACACAAGTTAAGTCTAGGCTGGGCTTCATAACAGCACTCTTCATCCTGGGCAAGTAGCCCATAAATGAGATCTCTGATCACTGATTTACATGCATGGGGGGGGGGGGGGGGGGAGGGGAGATGTAGACAAGAACAATGGAAAAGGATTTGTGTTTCATTCATGGTCCTATGAAATCCAGCCAAAGATGACAACCTGAAATATAGCCAGCCCTCCACAAAAATTTGGATTAAAAAGCATAATAATAAATAATAAAGAAAATAATAAATATAATAATAATAAATCATAACAAAATTGCTATTTTTTTTACTTGAGATAACACCTCCCAAAAAATGTCTAGGTCTTCCCACACAACTCTAGGGTCAACTTCCATTAGACTCTGAACACAGAATCACAATGGAGATCATACAGATTCCTAAAGAGGTGTTCTCTCTAGCAATCTCTAGCTTCCCCACCATGACCAGAGAAAGTTGACTATACAGGGCCCTTACACACAGCCATATAACCCAGTATATTAAGATAGATAATCTACAATATCTACTATGAACTAGATTACCTGAGTCCATACTGCCATATAATCAATTTCAATGTGGATTTTATACAGGTGTGTGGAAGAGGCCATAGTCTCATTGCAGGATCTAGAGCAGTGGTTCTCAACCTGTGGGTCTCCAGATGTTTTGGGCTAAAACTCCCAGAAATCCCAGCCAGTTTACCAGCTGTTAGGATTTCTGGGAGTTGAAGGCCAAAACATCTGGGGACCCACAGGTTGAGAACCACTGACCTGGAGATTTGTAGAGGGAACATTTTGATCAAATCCTCGGATAATCAAATCCACAAAAAATCAGAACTACTAATGTGGAGAAATGAGTGTAAAGGAAATGTGCTATACAGTCATTAATTCAAAATGCAAATTAGTATATCTGGGAAATATGTGCAACTGCTGTGTTACATATACAGGATCAGACTTCTACAGAGAATGTTCAAGTTAACTGAGATTTAAAAAGAGAAAAACAACATTTTTTTTTCAAAATAATCATGGGTAATGTTATTCTCAGGCCACATACGCAGTGTTTGCATTCCAGGGTTCGGTACACATAATAGCACAGAGAATGACCCCCTAATCAAACATAGTGGTTTACTATTGAGGCTTTGGCAAATAACTTTAGAATAAGGAATGAAATGCCTCGCAAGCAACTAATTACCCGATAGAAGTCTCTTTTGCAAGATCGTAGATGCCAGATAAGCATACTAAATAAGCACAAATTATGGCTAGTACTTCAGTATTCAATAATCATTGAGTTTAATTATGAATGACTGAGAATTGAAGGAGAAAAGAAACTAGATAGTGTGTTTAACAATAAAGGTATCTGTTTTACAGCATGCTAAAAATAAAGTAGCAGTAGGCACTTTTAACATACAATTTCTGAAATTTTCAAAATGTATTGCCTGACCAAAATGTGAGTTTTTTTGGCATGAATAATGAGCATCAAAAACATGGGAAGATGTAAGTTGGTGTTTGGAAATTTTATAACAGGCATTATTTGGTAACTCATGTGATAAGATCTTGAATAAACTCTAATTACTTCTAACTAAAGAAGATCCACCAAATGAATGTAATTTACCCGAGCCTTGATTTACCATTCAGCAATGGATCTATGGGTCTGTTTTCATTGATCTGATATGATTCAAAATATCTTACACAATATAGTTCTTACCTTTAGAACAAGCTCTTTGGCAGAATGTGACATAAGGATCCTGTCGCACCAAGCTGGACATCTAGTGTTCATGTACTGCATCCCCTGGCTATAATCCTCACTATATGGATAGCTGGGTGAAACAGGGGCAGAGGGAGGGGAAAGAAAGAAAATACAACATTCGTAAGAGCAGGAACACTTACAGATTTTACTATTTGTTTATTATTTATTCACATTTATATCCTGCCCTTCTCACCCCGAAGGGGACTCAGGGCGGCTCACAACAAAGGCAGAATTTGATGCCATGAAATTTGATGCCATACATAGAATAACACAACATATACTTTAAAATCACCCAATTAAAACATATCAAACTTAAAACAATTACTTAAAATCACACAATCCAAAAGCATATTCCAGGAGCCATTCCAGTTGTCATCTGCATTATTCATTATTGCACTGGGAATCAATGTCCAAAGGCTGGTTCCACAACCATGTCTTCACTTTCTTCCTGAAGGTCAAGAGGGAGGGGAGTTATCTAATTTCCCTGAGGAGGGAGTTCCATAGCTGAGGGGCCACCACCGGAGAAGGCCCTGTCTCTTGTTCCCAGCAGTCGTGCCTGTGAAGGGGGTGGGATCGAGAGCAGGGCCTCCTCAGACGATTTTAACCTCTGAGATGGTTCATACAGGGAGATATGTTCAGACAGGTAAGCTGGGCCGGAACCGTTTAGGACAATGTTTCTCAACATTCCCAATGCCGCGACCCCTTAATACAGTTCCTCATGTTGTGGTGACCCCCACAATCATAAAATTATTTTTGTTCCTACTTTACAAGTGTAATTTTGCTATTGTTATGAATCATAATATAAATATCTGATATGCAGGATGTATTTTCATTCACTGGACCAAATTGGGCACAAATTCCCAATACACCCAAATTTGAATGCTGGTGGGGTTGGGAAGGGGATTAATTTTGTCATTTGGGAGTTGGAGTTCCTTGGATTTATAGTTCACCTACAATCAAAGAGCATTCTGAACTGCACCAATGATGGAATTGAACCAATGTGAGTAGATCAATAGATTAGAAGCTAATGGTGCTCCATGCAGTCATGCTGGCCACATGACCTTGGAGGTGTCTATGGACAATGCCGGCCCTTCGGCTTAGAAATTGAGATGAGCACCAAACCTCAGGGTTGGACACAACTGGACTTAATGTCAGGGGAAAACCTTTACCTTTTAACACTTTCAAACCAAGAACAGTTTTTTTAAAACAAAATGTTTCATAGTTTTATATTTTGCATGTTACCTTGAAACATTTTGCCCTGAAAAGTAGAGTACAAATAGTTTACAAAGTCCTGTTTAATTAATGAGTTTAGTGTTTAGTGGCAAAGAAGCACACTGGAGAGATGCATATTGTGTGTGAGAGTGCAGGGAGGAGTTGCAAACAGTAAACATGTTTTTTTAAAAAAAGTATTGAAATCTATTCTATTTATTGAATTCAAAAAGGAATTATCAAGGCTTTTGAGACAAAGGTTTTAAAATAAGATGTGTGGGATTGAAACAGAAAATGTTTTCATGCTTGAAGAGAAACTTATTTACCACCTTACTTGGTGTGATATTCTAAAACGGAGATGCATAGCTCTCTACCAAATGGGTTTACAACCTACATTGCCATTAAAAAGATTAGCCGTGGCAAACAGCCAACTAAAGTGTACTGAACATATTGGAACAAACCAGTGAACTCAGTACCTTTTCCACCTCATCAAACCTAACAAGACTCATTTTCAAAACATATTATGAGAATTCAATTTGCTGCTTCACTGCCGTACAGAAGTACAGCTTATTTCTGAGTGTCCATGGGAGGCGTTGATGATGTAATATTCTTGCCAGCAGAAGCTCTTTGTCTGCAATTTAAGGGTTGACTTTTGCAGGCGGCCGATTAATGTAGCTCTTCTTTTTAAGCTATGTATGAACCTGACACAACAAAGACTACTCATTTATTAGAGATGTATGAATCCATCATATTCAGCCTCATTCATTCATTTCATAGTATTAATTTTCTGTGGTTGCAAGTGTTACACACAATCCAAGTGTATATGACTAACACAGGCATGGGCAAACCTTTTTGCTTGAGGCCTCATTGTGGGCTCGACCAAGATAGCTGGGCCTGGAGGAAGAGGGCCTGCGAGAGGGTGGGGCCAGGACAGGGCTCGAGTCATTCTCAGGTTATTCTCCTGGCATAAGGATGGGGCTGCTCGCTCCGTCCTTATGCTGGGAGGAAAGTGAGACATACGGCAACTGCCCTGATCCTCCTCCCCTGATCTTCAGGTTGCCCTCTCAGCATTATGCTGAGTTGAGAGCACTCTGGAGGGCTCTTAGCTGCTGCGTGCCTTCCTCGGGCCATTCTCTTGGCATAAGGATGGGGCCGCTCGCACCATTCTCATGCCAGGAGGAGGGTGAGACATGCTGTGGTTGAGAGCACTCCTGTCATATGTTCTGCAGTTGATGGTGCTTGGTGATGGAAGGGTTAATGTAAAGGGTTTAGTAATCTGTAAGTAAGAGTTCATGGGTGAAAGCAATTAAGGGTGGAGGTATGCAAGAGATGGGTTGCAGCTGGGTGTTTCTGGATATAAGGAGCTAGCCTTGGTACTGATCTTTGGGAGAAAAGTATCTGTTGTATTTTGGTGGTGGTTGCTGTTGGTTTTCCCCCCAGGTCTGTTGGATTTTTCGGTATCCTGATCTGTCTCCTGTAATCTTGGAATCCTGGAACCTTGAACCTTTGGACTTGCTTTTGACTACGGTATAGACTCTTGATCCCTGGACTTTGTTTATTGAACTCTCGGCATTTGACAACTGGAATGGACCCTTTTGACTACGAAGTTATTTTTGCTATCCATTTTTGTTTCTTCTGTAGCTGAGTGCTGCTGTTTTAATTAAACTGTTTGATAAAACTGGGAGTTTTGATTCATCTCTACCTAAACAAGGTAGAGCCCTAGCAACGTGACAACTCCAGAGGGCTCTCAGCTGCTGCATGCCTCCCCCCCTTGTTCCTTCTGCCCTGTGTCCTTATGCTGAGAGGATAGGGAAAATGAGAAGCACCTGAAGTAACTGCCCAGGGGGCCATATTCAGTCCATGGGCCTTAGTTTTGCCTATGCCTGGAGTACTAACAGTTTGTTATCCTTAAGCGGAATTTAGTCTCGTCCAATCTAAAGACACAATAACTTTGCACAAAAGCAGGAGGAAAAAAACCAGAAAACTTTACTCTTGTCAGCAGAGTCAAAACATATACTTGCAGTGTTTCGTACAAAATAAGCAGTGCAACAACTTACACTGTCCTTGTAAGAAATACAGAATGCAAAGAGCTTGGCTTCTTCGTCTCCCTTCAAATGAGCAGCGCAAATGGTTGCGCAAAAAGCTGTGAGCAAAAAACTCCTCAGAACAAATGCTTTTGAGCATAGAGCTGAACTGTATTCTAAGCCACATACAATTATACCCCACCGGGTGTGACTCAAACCTACTTGCTGATCTAGATTAGCAGCTGCACATGATAATTAACAGTATAAGGTTTTCTTTAACACATACATACAGTTGACTTCCAAAACATTATGTATATATATATCCTGTAACTTGGAGTTTATGGCCCATTCTCCACTGCCCTATATCAAGGATCTGATCCCAGATTATTTGCTTTGATCTGGATTGTATGAGTCCACACTGCCATTTAATCCAGTTCAAAGCAGATAATCTGGATATTATATGGCAGTGTAGAAGGGGCCCATAAGCCACGGTACAGGAAGGACAGTACATCAGTGGAAAAAACCAGGGGCCCATAGAGTCTGCTGGACTGGAATGAGGTCTAATCTCAATGTGCTCATTTGAGGGATGCTGGACTCTATAATCATGTAAAACTGTCCATTTTGTTGTGCCTGATATGGAAAAGATCTGGAGGCAGACAACTCACATAGTAAGTCAAAATACATTAGTAGGCCTGTTCTACATTGAGCTTTTTGCTGGAGACACTAAAACATGCCAACCTACTCAAACCACATTTTTCACTAAATGAGTAAAAAAAGAAATCAATTGAAGATTATCTGCTAACAGAGACAGTAATTGAAACTCCTTGTCATCATTAAACAATTTTACTTTGAGTCTCTTGCCAACTCAAAAAAGTGCAAGGTTTAATGTCTGTCTGTAAGGGCACATTTAGGGAGGGAAGAGTAAAAACAACACTTATTTGGCTTTCACTTGGGCAGTAAGCGAGTTGTCTATCCTACCTAAATTTTGTTTTGGCATTTGCTATTGAGCTACTTTACACCAGAATTAAAAAGAAGTATTATTTTAAGATTCTTGGCACAAGAACAAGTTCTCCAAAAATCTGACATTGTATAACACTGTGTAACAAAATTTGAAAATGTTCTGTTCCGCATTTGAAAGTGTCGTTTCCTGTTTAATGGTGCGGTATTTGCTTTGAAAGTACTTGCTATACACTCTGGAGACTTTGTTTTTGTGGCTGCCACAAACTATGTTGGATTGGTTGAGACTCAATGAGATATTCATTGAAAAACTAAAGCAAAATATGCTACAGGTTGTCTCAGGAAAACCAAGTTTTTGCAGTTTAATAAATTTTTTCCATGTTTTTAATGATAGAACTAATTAGGAAATTATATTTATAACCCAGGAACAAAAATTGTGTTACACAGTGTAATTCAACAATGCAACAACACTTGCTCGCTCACGTATCTCACACATCATTTCCTGACATACCATTCATAACTGCACTTTCATCTGCACTGCTGCTGAATCTTTGTATTTGCTACTGAAATTACACTTTCTATGGCACAAAAATCCCCTCATATCCCCATCCATCTATGATTGATATAATTTGACACTGTTGCCAAGGTGTAATCGCAGTGTGTAATGCAGTATTGAAGAGCCTGCTTGGAAACTAGAACCATCAAAGGTACTCTTGATTAATTGGGGCACACATCTAGTTTTTTGGTATCTCATCTGCTAAGAATTGTAATGCAACCAATAAGAAACTTCTTAATCCCCTCAATAAACCTTGTTTTACAAATGATGTTGCAATTACAGTTACTGCTAAGGGAAAAAAACCAGGATCCTTTCAAAAATAAC